GCGCGGACGTTTCTCATACGCGCACTCGTACTCTGTATGAAGCCTCTCCAGTGCCCTCCCCCCCCCCTCCTCCGCCCCACTACAGAGAATGGGAGAGAGAGGCTCTCTGGAGAGGCGCTTGGAGAGCAGCTGGGAGAGCTCCGGCCCGTTATATAATGAAAGGGTTCTCCAGCCTCGCGCCATCTTAATGAGTGGGACGTCCGGCTGGAGTGGGAGAGGGGGGAGAGAGAGAGAGAGAGAGAGAGAGAGAGAGAGAGAGAGAGGCGGGAGGGGAGGGGGAGCGTTCCCCGCGGGGACAGTCTGTGCAGCTGGCCGCGGCCCAGACAGGAGGGCGGCGGCTGCCCCCGGGCCAGCGGCTGAGCTGGCAGCGAACTCGAGGAGAGTTCAGGTCAGAGAGGGGAGGGCGGGGAGAGAGGGGTGAGATAGCTGCTAATGTCCACCGCGGGCCTACGTAGAGCCTCCCACTCAGACTGCCACAATGGCATTCTCTCTCCCTCTCTATCTCTCTCTCATCTCTCTCTTTCTCGATCTCTCCCTCTCTCCCGCCCGCACCTTGCCGCACTGCTGCTGCTGTTGGCCCCGCACCGGGCTCGCGCTCCCCATTCGGCATGGCGAGCACGTTGGACCGATTCGGAGCGTGATTTTATAGTGTGCGGTCACGTGCCGTCACAACCGTCACGCGGGCCCGCGTGACTGCGGCGTCACGTCACACTGGGAATAGATTGAATGGAGGGGTTTGACTGCATGACCAAATGGAAGCGTCGCCGAGAAGAAGGACGAGTGCTGCTCAAGGTCCGCCAAGGAGAATCTCAGTTCTCACAAGAAAAAATTTAATGTTATAGTATTGACACAAAATAAATTTTTCACTTTGAAAATTTACTTCTAAATATTTTACTAGAAGTTTTGTAATGAAGATTTCAAAATTGTTGTAGCTTTACGATAGCATATGCTGGCTCGTCGATAAATTTTAAGTCGATTCGTGTTATTGCTTTACTTTTCCCGTAAAACCAACCAGAGTGCAATTGTCTGCACATTAAATGCCAGTTCCTGTACTTTCTCTTCAGCAAGCTATTCACACTTTGCAAACATTTTTTTTATGTCCATCATTTAAACAAAAATAATTTGGTTATATAGCATCACATTTCTTTCTTTTTTACCGTGTGTGCTCCGCGACGACGAAGAATGAGGAAAAGAGAAGAGGAGGGGGGGGGGCGTGGATAGGGAAAAGAGAGGAGTAGGATGCGGGGATGCGAGGGAGGCGTTTGGTGGGCACCAGCATACTTCTGCATAACCAGATGGCATTCCATACCGACGTAGTAAAGGCCGTAAAAGAGGCACGCACGGGGGACGCAAAACGCCGAGCAGAGCAATGTCGGTCGGATGGACTCGCTCCCTCCTGTAGCCGCTATCCGGGTGAATAAAGCCGTCTCTCTATGCAGAGGGAGAGAGAGATAGGGGGGG